ATTATCATTATCATTATCATTATCATTATCATTATCATTATCATTATCATTATCATTATCAGTATGATTATCATTATCATTATTATTATTATTCTTTAGGAGAGCATTTTGGAAGTATATAAAATATTGTTATTCCAACATTATTTTCGACTGAAACAGACCTAGTTAAGTGCATTCCTAAAATTACATGAAAAATTTGTTCCTCATATGGGAGAATACTTATAAATGACCGAACAATAATTAAAACACTAAGAAAGGAGGACGAAAGCGAGTGGAATCAATTGGAACAAGATTCAGGATGTTTTGTTTTTAAAAAAATCACATTTATGGGCCACAATTTTCAACCTAATAATATTTCCACAACGATTTTTTTTTCTACAAAAGAAAAGTTATGGCAGAAAAAGGCACTAACGAAGTCATGTTTTATATTATTATTTGTTAACTGTAGTGTACATTAATTAGTCGGTGTAAATACACGTAATTTACTGTCTGTATATTAGAAATTATGTATACAGGGTATTCTGAAAGTCCGTCACGATACTTCGGGAGGTGATTCTACGGATTAAAATAATAGCAGTATGTAATGAAAATTTTTTTCGAATTATCAATTGTTTGCAAGTTACAGCTTGTCAAAATTCATTTTTTTTATTTTTCTATTTAAATAACTTATTTAATTCAAGTTCGAATAGTCTCTCATTTGGCACACCCACTAACTAGATGAAGCTCTATTGGACCAGTCAGAGAAAAGTTTCATCATCCACCGCTAGAGGGCACTTAGAATTCAAAATTTGTTTTGTTCATAACCTTAACCTCTCGCTAGACATCACAGAAATTTAAAAATTATTGAAAAGAGAAACAATATCAGAAAAATGTATGTACTCTTTGTTCAAATCAGAAAAAAGCCTGTTTACCAGAAAATCGCTATTAATGTGTTACCAAACATCAAACTTTTGATAATTCTTTCTGAAATTAATCAAGTTGCCATCCTTCAAATAAATATCATTAGTAATTTTGGTGTTACGAATTGTAATAAAATTTGTTTAAAGCAGGTATGTTTGATTTATCAGCATAATAATTTTCTTTTCGGCTCTGTAATAACGTTGTGGAAAAATAAGCTGGGGATAATGACTCTACTAATATTTTATGTACTAACGAAGCTGGTTTTATAAGAGATGGTATTACAGTATGATAACTTGACTAATTGCAGAAAGAATTATAAAAAATTTGATGTTTAATTAATAACAATTTAATAGCGATTAAGACTTTCTGATAAACGGGTACATTTATCGATTTGTATTAAGAGTACATAATTTTTTCTGATGTTATTTTTCTTTTCAATAATGTTTAAATTTCTCTGATATCTAGCAAGAGAAAAAGGTTATGAACAAAACTAATTGTGAATTCTAGCTAAAGTGTCCTCTAGCGGCGCATAATAAAACTTATTTCTGACTGGTCCAATAGAGCTTCATCTACTTAGTGGGTGTGCCAAATAAGAGACTAATCGGACTTGAATTAAATAAGTTATTTAAATAGAAAAATTAAAAAAAATAACTTTGACAGGCTGTAACTTGCAAACAATTGACAATTCGAAAAAAAAATTCATTACATACTGTTACTATTTTAATCCATAGAATCACCTCCTGGAGTTTTCTGACGGACTTTCAGAACACCCTGTATATTGTTATCTATTAAGCAGGATTCTTCAAGAAAACTAAAAGGGTCGTACTTTTTTCAAAATAATTGTGAATAGCGTCCTAGAATATTTTTGTAATAAAAAAACAAATAGAAAATGACATTTCCATAAATAATAACTTACAATATACATTTCTATGTAATCATTGGACGTCCCGCTAACGATCCGCAACAACACAGCATCAGACTTGGTAGTGATGAAGCCAATGGCGAGGGTGTCCTCCTGCATCTCAGGTCGATTGTCTTCTGGGAAGGTATAGGTGATTATGCCCCGGTTTGGTCCAAACTCATACGAAACCGACTCTGTAAATAAATTAAATTTGTACAGGATGTCTGTCCCATTCTGGTGATTATTTGAGTATTTGGCATTTATACGGGGTGTTTCAAAAATATGTTGCCAATTTGAGCGGGTTATAGAGGACATTGCGGAAGAAAATATGTGCATTTACCCCTAGTCGAAAATGAGCCGTTTTGACCCTGGAGCAATTTTTGTCCAAAAACGTATTGTTATTTCGTTGATCCCAAAAGATTTCGACATTTAAGTAAGTTTTATTATGGATAACGCAGAAATATATAATTTATAATAATTTTTCAAAATGGCTTGTGGTAGGTTGTTCTTTAGTTCTATGGCAATCAATAACCACTGCCCATGCAGTTCGTGGATGTCAACTTCCCACATTTACTTTAAAGTTCCTTTTTTCTCTTAACCGACGGTGGATTGACGAAAATGTTGCTCGGCAAGGATGTCGGTGATTCGGAAAGCGCTCAGCTTCTCTAGCATTGCATCTTGCTTCACCATAAATAAGATGCATGTCTGCATACTCTTCGAACGTAAATTAGTCCATTTTAATATCTTAGAAGCAAAATTTCGTCGCAAATAAAACAAATGTGAAACACTCAATTAGGTCCGATCATTTACTACAGATCTGTTCATTTGTTTCACTATTCTTCACAGGCTGACACAGATGACATTGCATTTCTAGATTATATGCGTGCAATAGAGCTTTTATCACACAGTTGTAGATAAAATCAATTTTTACCAACATCGTGTGTAGGACATTCAGTTGGTAAACACTTATCAGAAGAAGATAAACGTGTTTATTTTGTTTCAAATCATTTTTTGCGTTATCCTTAATAAAAATTTTTCTTAAATATCAATGTCTTTTAGTGTCAACGAGATAACGTTATGTTTTTGGACAAAAACGGCTCATTTCCGACTAGAGGTTTATATGCAAATTTTCTACCACAATGTCCTTTACATCCTTCCCAAGCTTGGCAACACCTTTTTGAAACAGCCTGTATATGGTCTCTGATTGATATGCAGGGTGTTACGAGTGTGTATAAATTTTAAGGGATGACGTTTTTATTTATTTTAAACCAAAAATGTTATATAAACATAGATTCGCAAATCGATAATAATTGTCGTGATACAGGATGTAGGAATTAAAAAATATATCTTTCCTGAAATATCTCCGAAGATGTTTGATACAGAATTAGGATATTTAATGATTTATTATTTTAGTTATCGATATTAATAGACTACAGAAGAATCTGCTACAAATGGAATACCCTGTACACAAAACCCATAACATGAAACAGCCAGTTCAAGTATCAGTCTTCATTAAGTATTTGAAAATATAGCAAACTGGTTATATCCTTGTGAATAGATCTTGTGTATTTTCTTTATGCTGAATCCGAATCCGCAGTGCAAAAACCGATCTACCAAACAATTTTTTTAGTAAAACGCTAAAATATCTACTAAAATAGGGTGAAATAGTGAAGATAAGGTAAAGCTTTATAGTGAAATTTGTAAATACTTTGAGAATACGAGATGGTTAATTCCATGGATAAGATCAAATAACGAATGTCTCTGGTACAGAACTTTTTTTATTTTCTAGAGCTGTGCTATTAGCACAAAAGGAAAAATCAACATTTTTCTATTTGAGAATAGTCTTAAAATACTTAAATTACTTCTAGTGTAGATCAACATTAATATTTGGATAATTTCAGATTAATTTTTATTTNTCGGTAATAATTGTCATGATACAGGATGTAGGAATTAAAAAATATATCTTTTGATGATTTATTATTTTAGTTATCGATATTAATAGACTACAGAAGAATCTGCTACAAATGGAATACCCTGTACACAAAACCTATAACATGAAACAGCCAGTTCAAGTATCAGTCTTCATTAAGTATTTGAAAATATAGCAAACTGGTTATATCCTTGTGAATAGATCTTGTGTATTTTCTTTATGCTGAATCCGAATCCGCAGTGCAAAAACCGATCTACCAAACAATTTTTTTAGTAAAACGCTAAAATATCTACTAAAATAGGGTGAAATAGTGAAGATAAGGTAAAGCTTTATAGTGAAATTTGTAAATACTTTGAGAATACGAGATGGTTAATTCCATGGATAAGATCAAATAACGAATGTCTCTGGTACAGAACTTTTTTTATTTTCTAGAGCTGTGCTATTAGCACAAAAGGAAAAATCAACATTTTTCTATTTGAGAATAGTCTTAAAATACTTAAATTACTTCTAGTGTAGATCAACATTAATATTTGGATAATTTCAGATTATGCCCTTTGCATGATTTTTATTTGTTTATTTAAGGTTACAAAGTTTATAAGTTTATAGTTATGGAAAGTATAGTCTTTACGCGGAAAACACGTGACGACTCGCCGGTGGTTCTGGATTAACTGACTCTCTCTTCTCAAGCATCGCGCTGCCGTCAACGACCGCGCCGCAGGTCAACTGAACATCTGTTATAAGATATATTTTTATTTTATGTAATACTAATTAATTTATACCTCTCCCTCGTTAAAACAATTGTTCCCTGTTATATCATGTAAAGAATGTAAAGAGTATCCAACCAATTAAGATTAGTACTATACTTAAAAATACATATTTTCTTGAACCTTTTAAATCCCGAGCAGGATGAGCAAATATATTTCAATTGTATTATTTTTGTTAAACATTCTTCAACAGCGCCTTGCATGCTAGTTCTCTTTCGAAAATCGAATTTGACATGAATATCGTTACCTACTCCTTTGTCTATTTACGTTTTATTTTCTTTTTCAAACAACAAAGTTAGCCTTCAAGAAATAGAGCCCTCTGTTTACTCTGAAATATAATAGTAAATGAATAAACGAGGTTTTAATTTTTTTTAGTGAACCTACATGAATTAAAATGACATTAAATTTAGATATTGACTTTTCAACACAATTTGAAAGTAGTAAAAGTAGTAAAAAAGTAGGTAATCCCTATTATAACATGTTTATATGTATGTTATTATTTACTAAATCTTTTATACCATGTTTTTTTTAATAAAAAAACGAATTGAAAATGGTTTCCATCTCTACTGCATTTTACAGAACCGTCATCAATATTTACCAGCCACGTGACCGCCGAGCTTAGGCAACCCAACATTGCACGACTAGGGTTTCTGATTTCTCGGCCTATTTTTTTTCTCGGGTTTCGAGAATTCTCGACTAGGAATTCCCGGGAATTCTCGAATATAAATAAATTTACGTAGATACTTTATTAGTGAAAACTGATGTCATATTTCTGTAAATATAATGAAATAAAAAAGCAAACTATGTAATATGATTTTGCACCAATTATGTTGAATACATATTACCAACATAATATTATGTGAATTTACATTTAACGTTTTTTGTATGGATTTTGACCATAAATTAGATAATGCTTTGTGTACTAAACAGGAAGTTAAGTTTTTGATTTGTAATTGATAAATTGGACACCTTTTAACAAGAAAAATAGTCTTTGAAAAAATCGAATATATACAAATATAGAAAACTTAGACATATTAAAGATGGTATCTATGAAATGATAGATATACTTTAAAGCCGGAATAACCGGAAATATTGTTAAAAATGTTAGTCATAAATTAGATAACAATATTCTAAATTTAGAAATTAATATAACTCATCGGAATATTAACAAAATTAACAAAATTAACAAATAATTAATCTTTTCACGAGCTGAAATAAACGAAATTTTAAATGAATTTAAACATAGAAAAATTAAAAATGTTGATAGACAATTCAACAAAATAAAAAATTTGCACATTGAAATATTTAGAAAAATAAATCTTAAATGGTTAAAGAAGTGAAAAATATTCTTTCCTTTTTTCGGAAATTTAATTTATCACCTAATAAAAATATTATAAAACTTCTTTTAGCTGATAATGAATAATTTCTTGTGATAATTCTGAAAATAAATAATTTCTTGATGAAATGAACGAGAAAATATTCTTCTTTGTCAAATAATTAATTAAGTATGTACCTACTAAATTTTTTAAATCATTTTCGATGCTTCATCAACCTTTGCTTTTTAAACACATGCTGTATAAATTTGAGATAGATGATGGTAAAGACGACTTTGGACACATGGTAAAAATAGATGTGTATTTTAATTTTAGTTTGAAACAATCATATTCTAAAAATATGTCATGTTTTAGCTTAGGAAAATAATCTTTATAAATAATAATTTGGTATCTTAAATACTTATTAATTGCCTTGAAATAAAACAGCGAAATACTGTAAACATTTCTTCCAAAAATATTCTGTTGATTTTGACATAAATCATACATTATTGTTACGTGTTAATATAACTAGCATATTTACCGACATCGCATAAGATAACATTTGAAGCAATATCAAAACAAAATTACAGAGTGACACTTTATATTAAAGGAATCGGGTAATATACAGTGTGTCCCAGAAGTAACGCAAAAAATTCGTATTTTATTTTGTGTTGCGTTTTCACAAAAACGCTAAAACACGTCAATTAGTAAATAAGAATTGTCATTTTGTCACGTTGCTTAAACCTTTTTTGCGCTATGTTTCATAAACCTATGATGTCATCGACATTTTTTTTAAATAGCACTACCCAATTTTTTAATCATAAATGGATAGTCCTTTTGAAGGAAAATACGTCGATATAGGGTTTGGGCTACTTTACTTTGACAGGAGCGAAAAAAAGCCAATGACTGGAATATACATGGTTTAAAATAACAATAAAAGTAGGTATCATAAAATGATGCGAGAACAGTGCCACAGCAAAAAATGGAAATTTGTGGATGTTTTGTGTTTTGGTTGAATGTAGGTACGTTTTTATGTATTGATATGTTGGCGTTTTCGGCGATACGACGAACGGCAGTGTGTGGATTTTTAGTGACAGCTAAACATAACATTTTGCCTATCATTTCCTATCACTGTCGTTGGCCTTCCAGATCTAGACAGATCTCTAACATGGCCAGCGTCTTCAAATTTGCGTACTAATCTGCATACTGTAGACGGAGGTATTGGTTGTTCTGGATACTTCATCATAACTACGGATCCTATCTCCGTATCTAACCATAATTAGGATTTCAGTTCTTTGTTTCTCATTTAAACACAACACTATCGTAATGTAAAGTTATGGTATTTGTAACTGTTACAATGATATGAGGCACTATTGCATTCCCTAACTGTCGTCTTCAGAACAATGCCTACATAGCCACTGTGATCGGGTGTACCTACCCATTCTACATAAAAACATGTACCTACAATCAACCAAAACACATTTTTTGCTATAGCACTGTCCGCGCATAAGTTTGTGATACCTACTTTTGTTATTAATTCGAACCATGTTCATTCCAATCGTTGGCTTTTTTTTCGCACCTGTCAAACTAAAGTAGGCCAAACCCTATATCGACGCATTTCCCTTCAAAAGGGCTATCCATGTATGCTTATAAAATTAGGTAGTGCTATTTAAAAAAAATGTCGATGACGTCATAGGTTTAAGAAACATAGCGCAAAAAAGGTTTAACCAACGTGACAAAACGACAATTTCTATTTACTAATTGACGTGTTTTAGCGTTTTTGTGAAAACTCAACACAAAATAAAATACGAATTTTATGCGTTACTTCTGGGACGCACTGTATTTTCCTTCGAAGTAATAAAAGAAAGTCCAAACATTATACGTCAAGTTCAATACGCAAATAGTAGCCACTAATATGATAATTTAAATAAACAAACAGATAACTTTATTTAATGACTAAGAGGTTTGATTGATAATTTCTTTGTCGGTAAAATTGCGATAATTTTTCATTTTTGCTACTGACGACTGTCCAGTTTTGCAAGTTAGTAATATTTCAACTTGGAACAAGTTTACTTGGAAACCCCCAACTTTGCTGTCCAGTTCTATAAGTTCACAATTTATCAATATGTCGGGAATCTTTGCTAGTAGTAATGAAGTTAGGTAAACCAAATTAAATTCGTGTTCGTGTTAATTATGAAATGTGTTTCATTTCTTTAAATAAAAATCTATTGCTATATTTGGAAATAATAAAAAAATACTCAGAACGAGAAGAAAAATAGTTTTGTAATCTATACAATTTCTAATAAAGTGTATACATTTTTTCCTGAGAATATAAATAAAGCAACGATGTTTTGAGTTTCTAGTAAAGTTCTTATTTTCTTTAATCTACTCGATTTGTTTTATATATTGAAAATTTGGGAAATTATATCGGGTGCTCCGAAATTCATGCAAGATTTGAATTTTGGGCTAATTGTGCGGTAAAGTTTTGACAAGGAAAAAAAAGAACAGCGTGACAGCTGACAGGTCAGGGATATTAAAAATGACGCGATACACGAAAGACCACGCGTTTCATTTTTGGCAATATTTAAAAAATAATGATGGTTTGGCAGTTATAGTTCGCAATTTTTATGCAAAATATGGTCTAAATAGTGATTTAACTTCGCCAACTGTGGAGAGAATTGAAAAATTCAGGGAGAGTGATCTTAAACAGTCTGTCCTTCAACAAGTCATTTAACACAAAACATCTAAGTAGTTCGTGAGAATGTTGTTGATAGTCCAGGGGACATCAGTTTGGCACCGTGATCAAGAACTGGACATTTCGAAAAGCTCTCTACAGCGTATTCTCATGAAAGATTTGCATCTTCATGTTTACAAAGTTCAATTGACTCCCAAAACTGAAGCCTACTGACCACGCAGAGCGAAGTGTTCTCTGATTACTACATGAATTTTGCGAGCCTTTATTAACGATTTTCATTTTGTCGAGTGTCAAAAAATTTCAAACGGTACTTATTTTGTTGAGGAACAGATTTGTAGAAGCAATTTTAAAATATGTTAAAAGAATGTTGCATATTGCATTTCGGATATATTTATTAAACCAAAGTTTTCTTTAAATAGAACATGCTGTATATTTTTATGCATATATTTGGATATAATGCTTTCTCAGGACTACAATGATATAATGTTTATGAACCTACCATAAGGAAGATATGGCCTAAGAAGTATGTTAGACTCATTCAGCTTATGTTTTGCGATCAGATATACAATACTTGTCAAATATATGCTTTCTACTAGTATCATGGTCGTCGCCAGATACAGACTTACAATGTATACCTAGGTAATTTTGACTTGCCCTTGTTGTACTCGGGCTAGGCTATGTAGGGACAGCCCGAGAAAATATAGTATTTTAAATAACAACCGTAAAGTGATTTACCCTATAATACAATAATATAAGTAATGGAAATGGTAGATACTTACCATCAGAGCACGTGGGGCCGGTGTACGTTGTCATATCGCAGTCACAGGTATATGAATTCCATTGCTGTACGCAAATGCCGGCATTTGCACAGACGTTGTGGCTGCATTTCGCTGACTGACCTATAATGCAACAATTGGAAAAACAATTAAAAAGACATTGAAAAAAACAAAACAAAATGATAGATATAGAAGATTATTCAATATCATACACAAAATAAATAATTTTAATGCCCATACGGACGTGGAAGGGTAAGATGCGGTTTTTCAGAAACAATACATTCGTTTACTAATGTGACACTCATATATATGCAATTTCTGTTGTGACTTTTTGAACAAATTTTTTTTTCTCTAATTTGGAAGTTGTGTTTTTTCTGTGTACAATAGTAAGTAATGTTTCGTTGAACCACATCTGATAATGAGGTTGTTTAGGTCTCGACGATTTGGCTTCTGTTTTGGAACCATTTTCAAGAGCTTACAGTTAAATTTTGAAGGAAAAAGAATGGGAATGCATGACAGCGATACCGAAGTCTCAATCTGATTATTCCTCGGATCGAACTGTAGGGGATCTCTAAGGAGCCTCATAGAGACTTTCTAAGAGACTCGATCAATTCCTTAGATCGATTTATTATTACTGTTAAAATGTTTTTTTGTCATAGGTAAATATTTTTTATATTTAGTAATGAAATTATTATACAAAATATTTTAACACTTTTCCTACATAAAGTTCCAATAAAATTGAAAAATTAAAAGATACATTAAAACGAATGTTGAATTTTCCTAGATGTGATTTCCTTTTTATGTTTTCTTAAATAATTGAGATTTAAACAAATGCACCTCTAAAATATCTATGTACGTATAACTTTAGCACAAAAATTCCAAAAATGGGACCCAAGCCACTCTACGTATTTGGAACGTCAAAAACCGAATCTGCCATAAGGAAAGTTCAATCACCCTCCAGTTTATTTTTAAATTGCCAAAAACCGCCACTATAACTTAAAAAGCAGTGCATTCAGTAGGTTTCTCCTTGGATATAGTACTGCAAACGAGTAGACGTGTTATATTTATGAAGACTCCTGCATATTTTGAGTAGGTATTCAAAAACCCATCAACCCTTGTAACTTATCGCTTCGGGGGAATATCAGAAAACCATAGTAAAACTCAAAAAATCTGCTAAAATTCCACATTCGGCGTATTCAAGTTAAATTAAAACCACAAATTTACAACCCCATCATATCGGTTTCTACACACCCTCAATAGCAGCATCACTCCAAGATGAAAAAGAGCTACACAAAAAGAAAAATAGTGCTAAAAAATACTATTGATTTAATGCAGTCATTAAGTAGATTTACTATAGGGTTTCATTTAAAGAAAAACCCACCAAAAGTAAAGTTATATTAGATCTTAGAGCTCCAACTAAAGGGTTTCTGGTATCCATCAAAAACTGTGTTGAGAATTGGAAGAGTGTACATAGAAATAAAATAATAAAAAAGAACGTTGGAAACGTAAAAAAAAAGATTGAGTTGTTTGTTTTTGAGACTTCGTATGTATATCTTGTCATTAGTAATATAAAAAGTCATTTTTTCTGTAAAAAAGTAATTTTTCTGTAAAACCCATTAATTAAATAATAAAACCTCTTTATTGCAANAAACCGCCACTATAACTTAAAAAGCAGTGCATTCAGTAGGTTTCTCCTTGGGTATAGTACTGCAAACGAGTAGACGTGTTATATTTATGAAGACTCCTGCATATTTTGAGTAGGTATTCAAAAACCCATCAACCCTTGTAACTTCGTGGGAATATCAGAAAACCACATTAAAACTCAAAAAATCAGCTAAAATTCCACATTCGGCGTATTCAAGTTAAACTAAAACATAAATTTACAACCCCATCATATCGGGTTCTACACACCTTCAATAGCAGCATCACTTCAAGATGAAAAAGAGCTACAGAAAAGGAAAAATAGTGCTAAAAAATACTATTGATTTAATGCAGTCATTAAGTCGATTTACTATAGGGTTTCATTTAAAGAAAATCCCACCAAAAGTAAAGTTATATTAGATCTTAGAGCTCCAACTAAAGGGTTTCTGGTATCCATCAAAAACTGATTTTGTCTTCGTATAGCTGTGCTTGAGTGGATGGTGGTAAGTGTCTGGGGGTTAACATATTACGTTGGTGGCCAGTTAAATAAGCTGGCGTTATTTATTTGTTCAGAGTGTAGGGTGCAAAAATCTCTTTTCCTCCGGGATCTAAATTCGTCACTTGAGTTTGTGATTTGAATTCAGCGAATGTAAAATTTTAGATGATTTGTAGATTTTACAGTGTTTTATGGGGCTCACCCGAAGCTGAAAGCTTGCAAGAGTTGAATGGGTACCTGAGTTCCTAAAATACACAGCGAGCTTCACAAGTATCGAGTCGCTTTCAGGGCTGCAAGGAAAACCTATTGAATGCAGAGGTTTAGATTTCAGGGGCGGTTTCTGACAATTTAAAAAACAAAGATGACAGAGTATTCCCCATAGCAGATTCGGTTTTTGGGAATACAAATACATAGGGTGGCATGAATTTCATCCAAGGAACATACTAATTTTTTTATGTGCTTGTAACTATTAGGTACATCCATTAAACCGAAATCCATTCAAATTAACAGTGGAAATAAGAAGCAAATTGGGCGAAGGCAGCTTAGTAACTTGGCATTGACTTTTGAATAATATAGTACTTACCCAAATACTTTTACTTATTTGGAATAACTAAGGAAATGTAGACATTCACTCAATTTGTAATGATTTGAATGCTGCTTGTATTAAAGTCTAAATTAGACTACGTTCCAAATTTGATCTACATATTTCAAGGACTATGGGAGACACAAAGAAAAAACAGAAAAATTATTGAAATTTTAACACCCTGTACCATGGTAACGAAGCATTTACGGAAATATGTTCGTATGGACTTCTTTATTTAAAATCATGCACAGATTCACCCCCCTATTATCAAACATCCTGTTTAGTACTTTGCCACGCAATTTTTGTGAAAATTGAGATAAGTCTTAAGGATTTAATGATGATGAAGTATAATTCATTACTTCATTTAATTGTCGGACAAACGCTACTACCAAAGGAAGCGGTACTGAAAATATCTAACCGTTTTCATGTTATCCCCGATAACAAGAAAGGATTTTTACAAATTATTTGGAATGGAAGTATTGCTCTTAACTCCACTGGATATACGATTAATCAGGAATCTAATTTACTTTTCTCTCGATTTAAAACTCATTTCGTGGTAAGTGTAAATTGAATTTCAATTTCTACTGCGCAGGATGGGTATCCGGATGAGCGCGGGAATTCATTTATAACCCCACAGGATCACCTTAAAATCAGTTAACAAAAATACATTTGATAATAATTATTGTGTTGTTACACAATGCATTTTAATTGTCTAGTTTTTTTTGTTAGTGGAGTTAATTTTACCGTTTGAATAGAAGTTAATTTCGATTAAGTTCGTCGATGTTTGATTTAAAATATTAGAGTTGATTCCCTGGATCATTTTTAGAAAAAAATTGCGTATTAAGGTATGTCCTGAACGGCTTAGTTCTCTCGGTACAGATTGTTATAGTAAACATTCATGCAAATATCTCTAAAGACGTATACTTGGACAAGGACTTAATTAAAAAAAGATAAATATTCACATGTACACAATTATGTCGACAGTGGAGAAAATACTAGGAGACAGTCGCTTAGAACCCTCAGAATTTGAGACTTAATTCCTAATTGTGTACCAAATAAGAAAGGTCTGTTTAGTTCTATTCGGGCAACGAAGAGACATTACTATTTTTTTATATAAAATAAGTTCACTACACGCTTGAATGAATCCATAGTTAACTCTAAAATTTATTTCTTGGAAAAAATTTAGGGTATACAAAATATTTCTCAAAAATACAATTTTAAATATATTGAGATCGTCAACACAGGCACACAAAAAAGTCCAAATCCAAGAGAACCACATATCAATTCCGAAGTAATTCGATGTGATGAAAACGATCCTGGTAGTCAAAATTCATGACTTATCGATGATCTTCGAAGATAAGTGAAATATAGGCCGAAACCTAAATTTTCTCCAAATATATCATTTTCGTACTATTTTCAGGCACTGAACACGTTGCTATTAGTAAAATGCACCCATGATCTCAATATTTCTCAGAAATACACTACCTATTTGGGTGAAAACAGGCCCAAACATGGGTCAAAACTGATTTTTTTATAAATTTTGTTCAAATATATCATTTTCGTGGTATTTGATTCACTGACAAGATGCTATTAGTAAAATTTACCCATAACTCGATATTTCTCATAAAATTCACTATTTGGGTGAAAACTGGCCAAAATACAAAGAAAATGATATACAGGGTGCATTTGACGGTGACCAAAAATAAAACCTCGTATTCTTTGGAGAATTTTAAGGGCGGTCTTTCCTAAAGGGTAAATCTAGGGGAGATGACGCACATTTTTTAAAATAATTATAAAACATATGTGAAATTGAAAATAAAGAGCAAAACTTCAGATTACGTTAAAAGAGTTTAATAAGTTATAATATATGACTTCAAATATGACAAAATGTCGAAGATTTTGGTAAAAATTAAAATTTTTTTTTCTTATGACTGCGTCAACTCACCTTAGGTATCGAGGAGAGATAACGCAGTATGTTAAATGATCGCACATTATTATTTTTTTTTTTTCATAAATTTGTACTAAAACTTCATATAATTTACTTTTGGTTTATTTATTTATTTATTTATTTATAATAACAAATAAAATACTCATTATTGTAGTTAGACAAAGAAGCATATACTCTGAACGAAAACGTAATTGTTTTCGTATTGTTCTTTATTTCTTCTTAAAGAAAAATCTAACCATGCATACATAGCCTGCCTTGCGAGATTTTATGTTGAAATTGTATGGTAATTCTAGCTTTTCTGCTAACTCAAAAGCCATAAAGCGCATAAAGGATCTCGTAGGTACAAATCCATGTGTCTTCAACTTTTGCTTTACTAATTTATCCTATTGTGGGCTCCTAGTGTACTTGAAGGTCCAAATGGTTTAGTTTGAGGTCTTCACATTTCCTTCGGCGTC